GCGCCGCCACCGCCGCCGCACCCCGCGCTCTCCGGCTCCTCGGCGCCGCGCTGCTGCTCCTGCTGCTGGTCCCCGCCGGCCGCCGCGCCGCAGGTGAGACTCGGCGCGCCCCCAGCCCACGGGCGGGACGAGGGGGGCAGGGGCGCTGGGCGCCCACCGCGGGGCCGCCCGCTAACCCGGTCTGTTCTCCCCGCAGGGGCGCCCGTGGCCGCCGAGCTGCGCTGCCAGTGCTTGCAGACCTTGCAGGGAATTCACCTCAAGAACATCCAGAACGTCAAGGTGACGCCCTCGGGACCCCACTGCGCCCAAACCGAAGTCATGTAAGTGAGGCCCCACACCGCTGCGACTGCTCGCGTCCTGGTGGCCCCCAGCGCCCCGATGCCCGCCGGCCCCCCGCCCAGCCCCACCTCCCGCCAACGCGGATTCTGCCTTCTCCCTGCAGAGCCACTCTCAAGAATGGGCAGGAGGTTTGTCTCAACCCCGAAGCCCCCATGGTCAAGAAAATCATCAATAAGATGCTAAACAAGTGAGTTGTGCTTTTTGTTCAACACGTGGGACTAGAGTCATTGGTCACAAATACTGGCAAATGCCTCCAGAAAGTTTTACCAAGGAAACCCAGGGTTTAGCTGAAGGACTGAAAATCATTATTATTTCACAATGAAATCTGCTAGTAAGATCATTCATCTGTTCTGGTGCCAAAGGTTATTTCCAGTACCCTCCATCCCCATGCAAATGAGTGTGGGTAAACCTGCTTTCATTAAAATTCTTATTGGTGTTGGTCAGTTATATTAAAAAGTTTTCCACCTGTTAAAAAACAGAGGCACCCCCCCCAATTCCTTCTAGACTTCACATCTGAAAAGCAGAACCCTTGGTTTTCTGCAACGTAGGCCCTAAAGCTTAGAGGTGAAGAGCAGACACTTTATACTGACACCACACTGGGAACAAATCTGGATTCTACCACCTATTAGCCATGTGACTCAAGGACAATTATTATTATTATTATCATCATCATCATCATCTAAAGCTTCAGTTAGGCCCCACAGGCCCCACCTGCGTTCCTGAATAAAAGCATCCAAGAGCTTAGAGTTCTCTGCTGCACAACATAGGGAGTAGCCTTTTGATACCAGGCAAGGGAAACTAGATTCAGAAAACTCTGGAACCTCGGGGTCAGGACAGGAGCTGTGCAGGCAGATTCCCTGAGCAGCTACTAAAGATGACATTTTTCTCATTATTGGGCAGCTCCAACTGATCAGAGGAAGGAGGAAACTGATTGGTGGCTGAATACCTGAATCAGGCCCCGCCCTTACAGGAACCCAAGAGGAAGAGGAATAATCCGTTCCCAGTGCCACCTCAGCTGGGCCTAATATATTTGAGCATCTCCTAGGAGAGTTCTTCTGTTTATTTATTTATTTATTGGTTGGTTGGTTTTCAAAGATTTCAATGTTAATATTTTACATACAAAATAATTGGGATGTAATTGAATCTATTTGTGCACTGTACCACTATTTTTATTGTTTATTTTATGTTAAACCCAACTTAGTTCAACCCTGATTCTTATTTAATTTGAAGGTAAAAGGCTTGCAAATATTCTCCAATCATTAAGTTAATACTCTGAGGGGCCCACAGCATTGCCAGCCACTGTGACTGAGGCTGGGGCGAGAGGGGGGTTCAAACAAATAGAGAGTGAGGTCATTGTCAGTTTGAGGAATATATGTGTACATCTATTTTTGTAACTGTTTAAAAGAATGTCAGCTATTATTTATTGAAATAATTTCACAGTATGTGGTCAACATTTCTCATGTTGAAGCTTTAGGAACTACAATGTTCTAAATATCCTTTGGACATTTTATGTCTTTCTTGTAAGGCATAATGCCTTGGGTAGTGTTAATTACGCAGTGTTTCTCTATGTCTTCTAACAGAGAGGTTCAAATATTCATTGTTGTTTTTGCAGAGAACTTGAAAATAAAGTACTTCAAAGTAAAAAAAAAAATGTTTGTTTCATTTAGGGGAAAAAGGCTATCTGTACTGGACAAGCTGATGATTTACACCAATACTTCTTGACCTTTTAAAAAAAAATTTCTTCCTGGGCATTCAGTTTGCTACACAGAGAAATGGAACTATAATTTATGCTTAACTTTATCTGATGGTAGCTGTCACTCCCCTTGAGTTTCACAAACCCAAGAATGTGCTTTTCCGAAGTGTGGGCTTCCCTTGGCCCCTCAGTGTGAGAGTCACTGATATATATTGCTGTTTTTTGATAAGGAGCTCCTTTCCACCCTAATACTCAATCTTCTCTCCTCAAAAACATTTACATTCTTATAGCAATCTTAACAGGGACTCTCATTTTGTTGCTTTTGCTAAATGATTTTTCAGTTACTGACAATTTAATGAAGCTGGCAGTGAAATGGTGGTAAAGTAGATTTTTCCTTCAAAACTCAAATAATTTGTGTCACTCATAGAAACACAAAGAGTGAGTGGCTGAGTACTTCACCTATGAAAAGATCTAACTGACATTTGGGTTCAAATTTCTAACCTTTATTTATAAGTAACTATCACTGAGTTTAATGTTACTCCAGTTCTTTATGTCAATTTGTCAAATAGAATAGTTTTAAGATTTGAGTGCCTTAGTTCTCATCATTCCTAGCACAATTTTTCTGGAACCTGATAGATTGTCTAGCCTGAGAATGTCCTCTGAAACTTGATATTCAACACTGCCCCAGGATGATACCACCACCAAGACAGAAACAAAATCTGTATGTAAAGAGAGGAAAGATCCCTATAATCTGAAACCACACTCCAAACCTGAAAAGGAAGAATGTTTGTGGATGTGCGGAGTGTGCTTGTCCCTGAGTCGGGACTCATTCAGGAAATCTTGAGCCTTGGGTAAAAGCCTTCAGCAGAGGCAAGAAGGCAGGACTGGCCCCCTCAATACTTGAGATCAGGTTCGAGTTTGCCCAAGCAGCTAGGTAAATAAGGACTCCCCGTAGCAAGAAACAAACTCTGTGAGCTTTTTTTCATAAAGTTAAAAATGGTAACCTCTTTATAACTCCAATGTTACTAGTTATCAATGAGATAAGAAGGAAGAAAATTTGTGAATGGTACAGAAGTAAATAAATGTCAGCCATTCTAGTAGCTCCACAAATGCTAGCATTCACTCCCTAACCTAACCCCAAGTCAAGGGACATTGGAAATTATTTATAAGGGGAACACCAAGGGCTCAATCAAGCCCTCACACCCAAGAGAAGTCCTTACATTCAAACACTGGCTTGAGCTTGCTGTACTGGACACTGAGCTCTTGTCAATAAGAAACATGCAGCATAGAAAGGAGAAAGGAGATGTTCTGTTCATATGGTGGTTAAGGACATAGGTTTCAAAGAATCAGATAGACTTTGGATAAATTCCAAAAGTTCCAGCTCTATAGCTTGTTGACTCTGTGCTCTTGGGCATGTTTCTTGACTTCACCAGCCTCATTTCCCCTGCTATAGAATGGAGATAATAACATAATACACCTGCTGAAGTTTTAGCAGGGATTGAACTTTATCAATGGCTCCAGAAATCTGCCATTGGTCCTCAGGCCAATTCCATGGACATTGTCTCGGTGTCTGTCCTGGATCAAGTGGATATGTACTATACTTTTCACACCATATGGCCCTGAGACTTGGCAAGTACAAGGCAGTCTCTTACTGCGAGTGTTAGGGCAGGAAATGGGACACAAGGGTGTGTGAGGCGGTGGTCATGAAGTGAAGTGGGGAAAGGTTATTGGGTGACACAGCCCAACTTCCAAAAGTCATCAGCAGGAAATAGCAATGGCAACACTGACTGAAGTTTCTTGAGCAGTGTTACCAAAGGAGCTAAACCCAGAAAGGAGGAAATATGGCTGATCCTATTATGTCATTATGAGTCCTTCTTTTGAATGCTATTGAGATGTCCTCGCAGGATTTCCAGACATGACTGGAAAGACGTTGGGGGATGGCGGAGGTAGCACACCTGCGATAGTATAATGGGGCAATCCAGAATAACTGGTGATACTGTTTCTCTTTTTTTTCTGACTACCCACACAAATAATAAGGGGAAGGTCTTATCTCATCTTCACCATTGATGCCCCACGCCGTATTTTCTTCACTTACCAGTGACGTCCACAGTTGCTGTGGGACAGCATCTATACTTGCTGACAACTTCCCAACTCAAGCGCCCCTATCCTTCTGATCCTCTTCCTGAGGGCTCTCTCCATTTGGGCGGGGAGGGGGGAAGGCAAAGAGAGTTTGCTTAGCTCAGAGGCAGGATGACCTGTGATTTAATGCCCTCAGAGGCCAGCTCATTGAGAGGCAGGAGTTAGTGGATGAATATTCGATTTTCCAGTCCCTCGGTTGGACAATTCTCGAAGTTACACTCTGTGTGTGTGTGTGTGTGTGTGTGTGCGCGCACGTATGTGTGTGTGTTTTAAGAGGAACTCTTTTCTACCTTGCTACTCAACTTTATCTCTTCAAAAACATTTCCATTTTTATAGCTACCTTAACAGGGACTCTCATTTCATTGCTTTGCTAAATGATTTATTTATAAATACATTTATTATATATATGCTTTCCACCTCTCTCTTCATTATGTTCACATTTTCTCTTAAATCTTTGAGCATATTGGGGTGCCAAGCATCTGACTCTTGATTTCGATTTCAGGGTCATGGGGTCCAGTCCCCGCTGGGCTCTGCATTCAGTGGGGAGTTGGCTTGAGATTCTCTCTCTTTCCTGCTCTCCCACCAAGCTTTCTCTCTCTCTCTGTCTCTAAAATAAATAAATAAATTCTTAAAAAATATCCTTGAGCATATTTATAATAACTAGTTTAAAATCCTTGTCTATTAATTCTATCATTCTGTCCTTTTTATTTCTATTGACTGATCTCCACCCCCCCCCACCCCATTATGGATCATGTTTTTCTTCCTGGCATATGTAGTAATTTTTTATTGGATGCAGGAAATTCTGAATCTTATGTTGTTGAGTGTCAAGATTTTGTTTTCTTCCTTTAGAATCTTGGTCTCTGTTATGGCAGCCTGTTAAGTTACCGGAGAATCAGCTTGATCTTTTGTAGGCTTGTTTGGAAGATTTATTAGGATGATCTAGAGAGAGTTCTTTTCCCCAAGGTTTGTTTAGTGGTACTACTAAATCATGCCCTTTCTGTGTCTCTGCTGAATGCCCTGAGTGCTTACAACATCCCTCCACTCTAAGAAGTCCAATCTCAAGTATCTCCCCACCCCATGCAGTCTAAGAATTGCTCAGCTTACAGCTCTCTGGCCACTCTCTGCCTGACCCGGTGGACTTTCACCTTATGCATGTGACTTAGTATTGATCAGCGAGACCCAATGGAACCTCAATGAGGATTTCCAGAGCTCTATTTTCCTCCGTGGATTTCTCCTTTCTACAACCCTACTCCATAACTTGTAGTCACCTCAGTTTCCCTGCCCTCCAAGACCCAGAAATTCCAGCTGAACATCCACCTACCTGAATTCAATTCTCTGTCTCCTCAACTCAGCAAAATC